AGAGCCAACCCGAGCTTCAACTTATCACTATTTTGGAATTCTTATGATTATCTGCAAAACATATTAAAAAATTTATATCTAATATCAAAATATAAATTAAAAAATAAATTCATAAATCAAAAATTATCTATATGAAGTGATAAATAAAATAATGCTTAGTAGATGAGTTGAAAAAGAATCAAGTTAAAGGTGATAATACTATAAAGCTAATTAAGGATGTCATAATATGAAATTTTAAAAGAAATTCGATGATGATGATTTTCTGCTTGAATAACTATGCATAGAAAAACTCCTTAGTTTGAGACAACTTTTGGAATTTTTTGAGACAATTTATTATTATTATTGTTTCTATTATTTTCAAGAAATTTTTATACTAAAAAATTTGTTGCTAAAAATAGTAAAAAAAATTGTCCCAAATGAAATCGAGGACTAGCGATGAAAGTTTAAGACTTATACTTTGAAAAGAATCATGTAGTTTAAAAAACAAATTAAATATTAAGACTATATATAAGTTTATATTAAAATAAGTTGTAGTGGTCATTTCAAATGTTTGGCCTATATTTTTTAAATTACATTGCTTAAATTGCTTTTCAACTTTATAATGATGCATAATTTATTTTTGTTTAAATATATTGCATGCAAGAGTACATGGTCATATTTTATATATTTTTTTGTTATTTTATCTTATTATTTTAATATTTAGTTTTAATAAACCATTGATCTAAGGAATATATATATATATAATTTTGCTGTAGATTTTAAATGCAACAACATTATATTATTGATAGTTATAGTTTTATCTATTCACATTACTTTCTATTTATTTTTAAAAATGTTTTGTCTAATTAATAAAATCTTATAATATCTACAAGCTATAAGATTACATTTCTTCATAATAAATTTTGTTGAGATAAGAGGGGACAATTGAATAAAATACAAAATTTTATAAATAAATTAAAAAAATATTCTCAAATCTTCTATCATTCCTCTTTTTCCATATGTGATAAATAACACAACAGATAAGCACAAAGAAGAGGTTTTTAACCTTCTCTTTGCCTTTATAATTTCCTTTTAACCATTCAAAAACCTGCAAAATAGTGGGCCTAAAGAGAAAACTTTGCAGTCCAAGAATTAAAGCACTAAAAATAGAGAATGAATAAGAACATTCAAAAAATAGATGAGAGACCGTTTCATTAAAGGAGTAGCATAAATTGCAGGTTTCTAGAACCAAAATATTTCTTAATTGAAGAGCATCTGCAGTCTTTAAGCCACCAACCAAAGCCATCCAAACAAAAATCGAATGCTTAATAATGTTTCTTTTAGCCCAAACCATTTTATGCAAAGAGCAGCTCTGAAAATCAGAATAAAATTCCTCAATGAAACTTTTGAACTTATAATTGTTCTGATTTTTCCAAAACAGATAGGGGCCAGCATCCCCAATAACTTTAAAACCCCCCATAAGATTTCTCAGATTCAAAGTGAGATTCTCAGGAAAAACCCACTGAGAACCTGAAATAAAGTCCTTCAAGAAAAATTCAAGAAAGTTCTCCACAAGAAGCACCCCTAAGTACTCAGTGATAGTAACATTGTAACACCAATGATCCCATTTCAATGATATAGGTGCATTTTGAGTGATTTTAAAATTGAAGCAATGTTTGACTTCAACAGCAGTCTTACAGATCGATTTCCAAAGTTTAGAAGCAAAAGCCTGATGGGTTCTCCAAGGGGATCTATAGTGATAAAGGAGCCAAGAAGAAAGAGGAGAGGGACAATTATACATCCTGAAAAGAACTGAACAATTATAAGCAAATTGCAAAGCATTGATATAAGGGATGCCCAGACCACCCTTGTTTTTAGGCATACAGATTTTATCCCAAGACACCATATACAATTTTTTGGTAATCAAAGAATCCCCAAAAAATGAAAAACCTAGAGCTGGTTTTTTTGATGAATTTGTAAACAATTTTTGGTTATATGGATCCCCTAATCTAGTATGCAATGGTATTCTGACTGGTGAATTTGATGCATTGCAATCTACCCGCAAAAGACAACAAGTTAGCCTTCCAACCATTCATTTTCTTATTGACACTATCCATAAGAGGCAAATAGTCTTCAATTTTGAGTTTATAGAAAGATAACGGGATGCCAAGATAAGTGAATTTCGTAACAATGTTGTGTATAGAGAGAGCTTGACAGATGTCCTGAGTATTCCTCTGATTTTTAGGAAACATGATGTCACTTTTATCATAGTTAACATGAATCCCCGTGGTATTAGCAAAGTCTCTTAAAATGATAGCCAACTTGTTACAATTCTCAGTAGTGGCCTCCCCAAAAATCAACACATAAAGCAAATGAGAAAGAGAATAGTTATCAAAAGAAATGCCTCTAAAACCTCTACTCTCAAGGAGATTGGAAAAAACATCCATCACTAGACAGAAGAGATAAGGACTAAGAGGGCATCCCTGTCTAAACCCTTCAGAAGTAGAAAAATAGCCCTCAAGAGCACCATTAAGCACAATAGAAAAATTAACATCAGTTATACAGGCTTTAATCCAGTTTACAAAAAGGTTAGAAAAACCTTTTTGTAACAGCCTAGCTAGCAAGAATTCACGACAGACAGAGTCAAAAGCCTTTTTGATGTCCAGTTTAGCACAAAAATATTACCACCCGTTCTCTTCCCAGCAGAATAGAGAATATCACTAGCTAGCAAAATATTGTCAATGGAGACTCTTGACTTAACAAAACCCGCTTGATTGTCCTTGACAACCAAATTCATAACCGGCTTCAATCTTTCAGCAAGCACCTTTGCAATGATTTTGTAGAGAGCATTACAAAGAGCAATAAGTCTATAATCTGAAATAGCAGTAACATTTTTGTGCTTGGGGATAATAGCCATAGCGGTTGCTTTAACACCATTGGGCAAATAGCCTTTTTGAAAAAAAAGATCTAATAGCCCTACAAACAGAGGGGCTAATAATGTGCCAAGCAGATTTGTAAAAAAAGAAATTGAACTCATCTGGTCCAGGGGCAGAATTTGAGGAGCCCATAACAACGACCTTTTTAACTTCCTCATCCAACACATAAGAGGTAAAAAGATTATCATAGCTGTTAGGAAGCATAAAACCAGAGGGAAAACAATCCAGGACCATATTGGAAGGAGGGGGATTGTAAAGACCTTGAAAAAAATGAATTATGGAAGAAACCACATCATATCTAGTAGATACAGGGTTGCTAGCAAGCAAATTGACCACAGATTTAGAACTACCCCTTCTAGTTCTAATTTTAGCATATAAGAACTTTAGGTCTTCCTCCCCATTTCTAATCCAGTTAACCTTTGCTCTCTGAATAATCCAAGAATCTTGTATAGAGGTAAACTTAGATAATTCCATATTAATCTCCTTGAAAGAGAGATTAAAAACTGAATTATTAGGATCTTCTTGTAACTTTCCCAGCAAGATAGCTTATTTTTTGTGCAAAATATCCAAATGGCTAGAGATACAGGTGGAAGAAGGCCAAACCTCTTTTTTAATAGCACATTTAAACTGTTTCAAAGAATTACTGAAATGAGAGATAGGGTTCCCAAAGCAAGACTTAGAAAAAAACCTTAAGAAGATGAACCCAGTAATTATCAAATTTAGTCCAGTAACTTTTAAAAAGAAACTTGTGATGCACTTGAAACCAGAGTGTAAAATAATAGGACAATGATTCGAACACGAGGGACTTTGAAAAGAGCAGTAGGAATCAGTGAAAGCATTCAACCAACCCTCATTCACTAAAACACGGTCAAGTTTTATATGAATAAGATTGTTAATTCGTTGAATGAACCAAGTATACTTAAAACCAACAGAATGTAAGTCCACGAGACTATTACTTAAAAACTTATATTGCTTAAAGTCTAAACAATGCCGATTGCAGTAATAGAAGTAACTCCCCCCCCCCCCCCCCCCTCATTTTTACTTAGAAAGCATTACCGACAGCAATTGAATATCACCAATTAAAGCCCAAGGGAAGTCACTTGTAGGAGCCAACTGAACAATAGAATCCCACAGCTCCTTGCGGTCAAGAGAGCTGTTAGAAGCATATATAACATAAAGCTAAAGTAGAGGTTGTTTAGCAACCCAAATAATCCCAAAAATTACCTGGTGTGAGATAAAAGTTGGCTTGAAGTTGAGTTTAGAAGTATTCCACTTGACCCATATCCGACCCGAAGAAGATAAAACAAAGTTGTAACAACTTACTTCATTCACAAAAAGGGAGTGAGAAGAATAAAAAAAAGGATCCAGTAAAGATTGGGAATTGATCCTGTTCTCCAAAATGCAAACCAAGTCTAACTTGAAGGATTCCATAAGACGCTTGCAACACAACACTTTATCAGGGTGATTAAAACCCCTGATATTCCACGCCGCTATGGGTGGAAAAAACATTAAATGTTTGGATGAGACTAAGGTTTTTTGTTCTGCTTCTCCTTGTAGGATTTTTCGATACCACACTAGCTTGCATCTGTTTTATCTTTTTTGAGACCTTAGATTGACCGCAGGAAGAAGAGCCCAGCTTCCCTCAATGCCCCCTAAAACATCATTTTGATGAATTTGTTCTTCCTCTAAATTTAGAACATTAAACTTATTAGGAGATATGATATCTTTAGGCAAAGAAGGGAATTTAGTGTTCTGAGTGGTAGACGAGGAAGAAACAGCCTCATTGGGAGAGTTAAGATTAGGAATACTAGAAATAATAACATCCTCAATAAGCGGTATCACACTTAAAGGAATATCACCAATGACAATTTCAGTGTCTGAGGAGGGGTTTTGAGGAGTGGGCAAATGTGGTTGATAATGTAGAGGTTGCCCAATGACATTCATGATGATAGCAGTGGGTTATAAAATGGTTTGAGCATTATTATTAAGTGGTTCGGGATGCCAAGGTAAAACAGCCGGAGGCCTAGAAAAATTCTGGTTTCTAGATTTAGATTTGATATGAGGCTTTCTACTGTAGCTCTTGCCTCATAAATCAGCCGTATCATTAACTTGCTCATTAGAATAAGATTTAGGTTTTGTCGGACAAGATGATGAGAAATGCATTAAAGACTTACAATGTTCACAGGGGTAAGGACGCCATTCATATTGAACTTTCAAACTTACCACATCACCATCTAATGAAACTTGTATCTCCTTCGGATAAGTGGCTAAATTATCAACAAGAACAGAGATTTGGGCATAGGTGAGCCTAATCTTTTGCTCTGTAAGCTTGTCCGCGGCTACCGGAACCCCGATCTTGCTGGCTATACGAGATATGCCCTCTGAATTCCAACATGCAAGGGGGAGGTCGTGGATTTTCACCCATATAGGGACAGATGAAAATTTCTCCTTCTTAGGTTTGAACTTCAGGTGCCACTTCTGAAGCAGAAATGGTTTCCCCAGCAGGAACCAAACACCTCTCGACCAGACCATGTCAAAATCTTCACGACAGGAGAATCGAAGAAGGAAAAAACCATCATTTAGAGAAAGTAACTGCATCGGACCTTTTAAGCTCCAAGTCTTGTTGATGGCCCCCCAACAGAGCCTTGTAGAAAGGTTTGCGCCCGATCAAATAGCCAACCAGACATAAATTCCATTCTTCACCACCCTTACTCAATTTATCACATGAGAAGGGAATAATATCCGGCTCAGAGGGATGATGAGAAAATTGAAAAGCTTTAGGAGCTTTTTCATCAGAGACAAACACCTGATTCCAATTCTTCGGGAGAGAGCTCGCAATCCTGCCAGAGGACGAACCAAGTGGAGGAAAATCTAAAGTGTGAAGAGGAACATACATTGAAGAAGAAGAGAAAGGAAGTCCTCCGGCCTCGCCGGAGGAGGAGAGCAGAAGAAAGGTCAGCAGAAGGAGGCGATGCGAGGAGGAAAAAAACCCTAACCCTCACAGCCAGCAGCGGTGTCTTTTTCAACCATTTCTTATACTCCTTTTTAACTACATAATTTTTTCCCTAATAAGATACATCTCTTCAAATCATTAGCTGCTCATTCAATACATTTTGAATGATGTTGTAGCTTCTCCTGCATTTCGATTTTCTCCAACGAAGAGTTTTAAGATGATGTCATTAGCCGCATTCATATTAGAGGTTAGTCGGCACAGCTGGTAAGTTCCTTCCTCCTAAATATTTGATTACTAGTTTCTCTATTTGACTCGCATGATAAGTTTAGCTGCTTCTCTAATGGTTTAGAATAGTGAAGTTGAAGATTCACATGGCTCACAAACTAACCTCAAAAGAGTGGAATCAAGAAGCCTAGGAGGCAGAGGAAGACATTCATTAAAGTGATGGATCCCAATTTTCTTAGGAATCAAGGGTATGTGAGGAAGCACAATAAGAAGAGTCGTGACTCAGGATCTGAAGAAGAGGAGTAGATGAGGCACTGGCCATTATTATTTATATATTACGAGACTAAAATTGTGAACCTTTTTTTCTTTTTGTAGTTGTAGATTTTTTTTTTCTTTTTTGGATTTTCTTCACTACTTCAAGCAAGGGAAATGAAAGGAAAAAAAGGATGAAAGCTTTCAATTTTTCATTTTTTCCCGAAGGATACCCATTTATTTTGGTCTGATGTCGCTCAGCTTTGGGTTTCTGAAGGGTTCGTAACTAAGCATGAAATAAAATTAATGGAACAATTAGCATAAGGATACTTCGATGAGTTACTCAAGTGAAATCTTTTGTTGATATGCTCTAATTTTGAACATAGGTGTGAATTGCATGATCTTATCAGATATTTTGTTAGTTTTTTTGTCTAATGATGAAAGCTCTTTTGGAGATTCGAATTTATGGAATTTCAATGCAATTATTAAGCTTCGTCGCTTTTTAGTTGAAGAAAAAAATGCAACAGAAGTACTCGATTCTGTTGCATACCCGAGAGTCATCAGAACCCTGCTTGCTTCACATTCTGGTCTGTTGTTGGATGATGAAAGATTTAGGTGACTTCGGTATTTTCAAGTCTTAGATATTTTCCATATAGGGATTGAGATACTTCCTGAATGAATAGGAGATTTAGTGCATATGAGACATCTCAATTTGATTCATGCTCACATAAGGGCAATTCCAGAATCCATTAGGATATTAAAATGCTTGTATTACTTGAACATCCATGAATGCAATTATTTGAGACAAGTTCCTTGTACAATTACTCATTTATTTGAATTAAGGCACCTTGAACTTTTGGGGACACCAGTTATTTTCATTCCAAATAGAATACATAAACTAACAAAATTGAATTATTTTAATTGTTTTGTGGTGCCCAATAGTAATACTGGCAGCAAATTGGAAGATTTAAATTTACTAAAACATATAAGAAAATTTAGCATTTGCAATATGGAGAGGGTTTCAAGTGGAACCATATATCTCAAAGAACTGTATAATCTGTATACTTTAAAGTTGCTCTTCTCCAAGGACTACTCAATTGAAAATGAAGAACAACAATTGGTTGTATATGAGGAGTTGGATGTGTTGATAACTCTATATAGCCTAAGAAAATTTTGTTTATATAATTTTTTTGGTCGCCGCTTTCCGATGTGGATGGCTTTGTCATCTTTTGAACAATGTGTTCCATTATTGACTAAATTAGAATTCATGGAGATAACAACATGGACATAGCTCCCAGCTTTAGGCCAGCTAACTCAACTTAAACATCTTAATATTTGAGTTGTCATTAAAGTGAAGAGCATTTGGCCAAAATTTCTTGGCGTTGGCATCAATTCAACAACGAAGATTGCTTTCCCCAAGCTTGAAATGCTTCATATAGGCAAAATGTATCAATAGAAGATTGGTCGTTTGATGCACAGGTAGAGGAAACTGAATCTCCAAGGCTTCTTATGATGCTATGTTTATGGAAACTAGACATGGATTTTTGTCTGTTCTTGACACAACTTCTCAAAGGTCTAAAATTCTCATCTGTGAAGTCACTAAATATAATTTCCGTAAACTTAACATCAATGAAAGAACTCCCAACTTGGCTTACTAAACTGAGTATAATTGGTTGTCGTAAGGTTGTAAGAGTTCGTTATCCTCCTTCATTAAAGAAGCTTTATATTAAATACTATGAGGCCTTGCGTTCTATGAAGAACCTTGATTAAGTGAAGGAATTGTATTTCTGTGATCCTTATGCTCAGAGCCTTCCAACGTGGTTATTAATGTTTCTGCCACAACTGCAAAGTCATACTAATGACGACATCTTGCTTGAGTTGATTTTCCATGAAGATGTTTTTCGAGAATTCCTACAAGGAGGTTGTTATTGGGATCTAATTCAATACATTCCCCAAGTAATTGTTCATAGTACTGATTATCATCATTATCTTCGCTACAAAAAGCAACCCTATGTTTATGGTATAGATTTTTGATTAATTTTGGTATTGGAGCTTTGTCAATAATTATCAAGCTGTCGTGGTGTTGTTTGTAGTGAGTGTGTGTTTCTTTTGCATAATTGCTTGTGCCATAATACCTACTGATTATCATGTTTTTGTGGTGTTGCTTGAGTTGATTTTATATGAATGTTTTTCGAGAATGCCTACATGGAGGTTGTTATTGGGATTCCACCCATAGTAAATCTTGACTGTTCATTTATAAATTTTAAATTAATCTACAATATTCTTATATGAAACTTCAAATTCTATCATTTATCACTTCATATAAAATATTTATTTATTCATTTATGCAATTTAATATCCCTTAAATACACCTCATATAAAATAAATTTTAATTTTCTTAATTCTTGATGCTATTTGCTTTCTAAAATGACGTTATCATGCTTTAAATTTGAATTTAATATTTACAGTTAATTATAATTTAATTTTAAGTTATCGTTAACAATTTTTATGTCATTACTAATAATTAAATAACATAAGATATTCTGATGGATTATCTTGATCCTTCATTTGAAAATGTTAAATAAATTCCTTTTTTTGGGTAAATTCAATAAATTCCCACTGTAAATTTTTTTTATTCGGTTATAATAAAACGAATAGTTGTCTCAGTCATTGTCAAGCGTTTCAATGCTTTAAATCCAAAAGTAGAAGATGACGCTTAATCTTCCAATGCTTATTCTTTGAATGTTCAGCTTCTTATTCATTCCATTCGTGCATTTATATCTATACTTGAAATCTCTTCTTTATTGAATTAAACGCATCTTCTTTTTAACTGCATAATTTTTTTCCTAATTGGATACATCTCTTCAAGTCCCAAGTTGCTCATTCAATATATTTTGAATGAATATTTTTCTTCTCCTGCATTTCGATTTTCTCCAACGAAGAGGTTTAAGATGATGCCATTAGCTGCACTCATATTAGAGGTTAGTCGGTGCAACTGGTAAGTTCCTTCCTCCTAAATATCCGATTATAAGTTTCTCTATTTTACTCGCATGATAAGTTTAGCTTCTTCTCTAATGGCTTAGAATAGTGAAGTCAAAGATTCACACGACTCACAACCAACCTCAAAAGAAAGGAATCAAGAAGCCTAGGAGGCAGCAGAAGATATTCACTAAAGTGATGGATCTCAATTTCCTCAGGAATCAAGGGTGTGCGAGGAAGCATAATAAGAAGAGTCGTGACTCAGGATCTGAAGAAGAGGAGTAGATGAGGCATTGGTCATTATTATTTATATATTATGAGACTAAAAATGTGAACCTTTTTTTTCTTTTTGCTGTTGTAGAATTTTTTTCTTTTTTGGGTTTTCTTCACTACTTCAAGCAAGGAAAATGAAAGAAAAAAAAAGGATGAGAGCTTTGAGTTTTTTATATTTTCCTGGAGGATAAACGTTTACTTTGCTCTGATGTCGCTCAACTTTGGGTTTTTGAAGGGTTCATAACTGAGCATGAAATAAAATTAATGGAATAATTAACTGAAGGATACTTCGATGAGTTACTCAAGCGAAATCTTTTGTTGAAATGCTCTAATTTTGAAGATAGGTGTGAATTGGATGATCTTATTAGATCTTTTGCTAGTTTTTTGTCTAATGATGAAAGTTCTTGGGATATTCAAACTTATAGAATTTCAATGCAATTATTAAGCCGTCGCTTATCAGTTGAAGAAAAAAATGTAATAGAAGTACTCGATTCTGTTGCATACCCGAGAGCCCAGTGGCGGAGCTAGAAAATGTATTTAGGGGGGCCTAAATTTTTTTTTCCTTCAACTTTTTACATCCGGACTTGGGATTAATATAACCAATTTTATAAATAATAAAACTTTGATAGTGAATTAGTTTATTTTTTTACTTCACAAAATGACTTCCAATCATCAAATCACTTGATTAATGCTAGAACGGGTTCATTATATAAACTAAATATGTGATATTAAAAATCTCATTGCACAAAAAAAATTATAAAATCTCTTTAAGATCGAATCAATACAGGATTAAGCTAATATCAACCAAGAAAAAAATGTAAATTAATAGGAAATTAAATCGGGAGTGATTTGAATGGACGACAGATGTTAAATCTCTTGATTGTGGACTATTTATTGAGCATTTAAATGTTTTAGT